CACACACACACACACACACACACACACACACGTCCACACCACTACTTTCTTACAAATCTTTTGTGTTGCCAAACCAATAGAACAGCTATATGTCTCCATAAAAGTAGTTGCTATATTCACGACTTTAAGAGTTTGCCAGGCTGTAAGGATTGTAGGCAAAAATATACTGCTTTTAAGGTACATTTAGAATAGGAATAGAATAGAATAGAAAATATGGAATGGAATGGAATAGAGCAGAGCTGTAAGGGACCTTGGAGGTCTTCTAGTCCAGCCCCCTGCTCACGCAGGAGGACCTATACAATCTCAGACAAGTGATTGTCCATTCGTTTCTTAAAAATCTCCAGTGATGGAGTGCCCGCGATTTCTGACTTTTGATGCTATCTTTGGGGGTGTCATTTAGTCTCTGCACATTTTAAAGTCTCTAGACATTTAATTGGAATGAAGGGAGGGGGGGGGATGTATACTTTTGAAAGACAGTTCCTCTCGGTGAATTATTGAAGGCCATTTCCCCCCACCCCACCCAAATTTTCTTTTACCCACTCTCGTGCTAAGCTCTTTGGCCATGAACAGACCTCTCTCTTTCACTTGCTCAGAGCCATCTGTTGCTCCAGCCTTCATTTATCATGGAGAATCTCAAGTGGAACATAATCCTCATTTCCTTGGACCAAAGACATATTATGTTTCTTCCTAGGTGGATGGTTGAGTCACCTCATTAGTTCAGCATCTTCTCTACACCAAAGCAACATGCTAAATTTTCTATGTATGTACAGGAGAGTAAATACGCAGCAGCTGTGCTGTTTAGAAAGATATTACCTAAGAACAGCATATAAACAAAGAAATTAGTTTATTGTTACAGTCTTAATTGTCCAAAGTTCAGACACTTTGCACCTTAGCTGTGTGATAGTGACTAACTTTTTGGAGACCGCAACAGTCTTCAGACTTATTTGTAAAAATAATAAAGATGGGATACAAATAAATAAAATCCTGTATTAAGAATTCCAGTCTGTTGAATTCCAATTTACTGCTTATACATTCATCTTTCAGCCTTCAAGGAATTTCCATCTAATTGTCCCACTCAATAACTCTGTAAGGCAAGTTGAGAGAATGAATGTTGAAATGCCTCCAAAATTTTGTATAGACAAGTGAAGAGACACCAATTTCCAGTCTAATGTTGTAAACGTAACATTTAAAATGTCCAAACTGATTTTCATCTTCTGATGGCTTCAGAGACAGATGGTGGTTTTTTTTCTGGCAATCTTCTAGGCAACATTGCAGAAGTGGCCTGACATTGCCTTTTCCTGGGAAGTTTTTTTGTGATTTCTCAAGTCTAGCCTACAATCTTTGTGTTCATGGAAATTTCCTAGCCATGAAGTGGAGGCCCATAAGTCTTAAAGTTGCCGAGGTTGGACATCCCTAATCTTGAGACTTGTACTTCCTATATCAATATTGTATTTCTAACTGTGTGCACTCCTTCAATAAATGTAGGGCTGGCTGCCAAAATCAACTGTGAAATAAAATCCATAGGATCATATGATATTTAGCATCTTTGCCTGTCCTGCATTTTCAGTTTACAAATCATGACTTCACTTTTAATTAACTTTTAAATAAACATTTGTTAAAATAAACAGTACTAAAATAAACAGTGAAGCTTTTTTTGGTATGTTTCAGGTGTACAACAGCCAGGGGTCAAGTGGTTCTTCTGGAAAAGCCTTTAAGGTCCATCTGCAGCTATGGGACACAGCTGGGCAGGAGAGGTAATATTCAAGAACTTAAAAGTCCAATGCAGAAATAATTGGAAGGGGAAATGAACAATATTTTTTTCTATTAGATTCTGTCATTTGAATGCAGGCAGGTTTTCAAGAAGAGATTTTTTAAAATTATCATTTTATACATCATATTACTGTTTACAAGGAATCTTAAGACTAGTTCTTAACTTCAATTATTTGGAATTTTGAATAAAAAGTTATTTGAAGCATTTAGGAATGTCGGATTTCAGGGGTACATTTGCTAAAAGTCGCAGGAAAATGGGTAGTGCCTGCAGTTTACACACACACACACACACACACACACACACACACACACACACACACA